TAAATTTTTTATTTTACATTATAAATCTTTAAAACACATTTACAATTAGCTAAATAAAAGAAATCCATTGATACCGATAGGTATTGGGGCATGCATCCTCCCTCCACCTTTTTTTTATAAAGAAATATAGGATATTTTGACATAGCTAAAATTTGTTAATGTACAAGCCCCAGCTACCTTTTCTGGATATTGAATTTTTCCTCCTAGTATCCTTTAAGTTATACAATATAATTCCGCAGCTCGCTTGCAACTTAGTTCTCCAGCTTTAACTTTTGCATTGGCTTTTTCCACTAGCTCTTCGCTATAATTTTTTACAGATTTTCTCTTGTAGTTTCGTGGCATTGTTGCTGATAATTGATTGATTTAATAATTTGAATTGATTATAAGATCAACATGAACTAAGAAATTAATTATCAAAACAAGAGGAAGGGAAATAATATTAATTATCCAATCAAAGCGCATTTCTATTTAATATAAACAGGTGGCGAAAATCCCTTATTTAGTATTTCTGTAATAACTTTAGAATCAATCAAAATTAGAAAGGAAAACAAAATACAAATATTCTTCGAAAAATGTCCAATGTTTTAATCATTTAAATTTTGAATGGAAATAAATATTTTGATTTTTATGAGAATTTTAAATATCCTGTTTTTTTATAGATTATTTTTGTCAATTAATTTTCTCATCAAGTTTTTTTTTTTTTTTTTTTTTTTTTTTTATTTGCATTCACTTCCAACAAGGCTGCAAGCAACCACTATTAAGTTGGGAGTTACTAGGAAAAAAAAGAACAGAGTTATAGAGCAAGGAAACGGTTGACAGAAGACTTGAAAAGTTGAAGGTTGTAGGAGTCAGGAAAACATGAAGATGGGAGAGAGTTCCAAAGGATTGAAGTGCGGGGAAAAAAACTAGATGAATAAAAGTTTTTAGAGCATGCTGGGACAGATACAGTAAACGAATGAGACTTAGCTGAATGACGAGTAAAACGAGAATGAATTTTAGTTGATGGAACTAGAGATGATAACTCCTTTGAGCAGTGACCATGATAGCATTTGTAGAAAAGAGAAAGAGATGCAATTTTACGACGATGGGAAAGAGGTTCAAGCTTAGCAGATAGTCCAGGTCCAACAACATTTACAATGCGTTTTTAGACCTTGTCAAGAAGAGAAAGTGAATCGTTAGAAGAACCAGCCCAAATATGACAACAGTATTCCATACAGGGACGAATAAGAGATTTGTAGAGGTAGAGAATGGAATCAGAAGTAAGGAAATGGCAAGCACGATAAAGAGAAGCAACCTTAGCAGAAGCTAATTTAGCAATCGATTGTATATATGGTTTCCATGAAAGGTCAGTAGTAAGCAATAATCCAAGAAGACGTAAAGTGGACGACTCAGTAAGAGGATTGCCATTCATTAATATAGGAATGTTGACCATACTACGGTAGTTGTTTGCAGTAAGCAATTGGGTTTTTTTAGAGTTGAAATTCACAAGCCACTGTGAACCCCAATCTATTACTGAAGTGAGATCAGATTCAAGATCAGCTGCTTGTTCTAGGCGATCAAAAAGAGAAGACTTTTTGTCAAGACAGGAGTATAAAGTTGAGTCATCAGCAAAAAGAGCTACTTTAGATGAAAGGTTGTCAGGAAGATCGTTTATGTAGATAAGAAACAAAACAGGGCCCAGGATGGAACCTTGGGGAACCCCAGAAGTTACTGGAAATAAAGAAGAGTGTTGGCCTTCAAGGATAACTTTAATAAACCGGTCAGAAAGAAATGATTTGATAATCTCAAAAACTTTCCCAGAAACACCATATGAAGCAAGCTTATGGAGAAGACCAGCATGCCAAACTTTGTCGAAAGCTTTAGATATGTCGAGAGCAATAGCCCTAGCCTCACCGCCTCCATCTAATGCACGATAAAATCTTTCAGTTACAGCAGTTAGCAAGTCGACCGTAGAGCGAGAGGATCGAAAACCGTATTGATTGTCTGACAGCAGTTTATTTGACTCAAGATGAGATGTGAGGAATTTGTTGATCAAAGACTTAAAGACCTTGCTAATAACAGAAAGAAGACTGATCGGACGATAATTGGAGGGGTCAGAATTTTCTCCAGAGTTTTTGAATATTGGAACCACAGATGCCATTTTCCAACAAGCAGGAAAACAAGACTCAGTCAAACACTTGTTAAATAGTTTAGGGAGAATTGAAGAAAGTTCTGGAGAACAATTCTGCAAGACTGTGACAGGAATGTTGTCTGGACCACAAGCTGTAGACGAGTTTAATTGAGATATGACTTTAGCAACAGAAGCCGGAGTGATTTGAATGTCTAACAATGGGTCAACCTGTTTGACTGGAATGGAAGGAAGAGAATGTCCATAAGATTCAAGAGTGGAATTAGAAGAAAAGTTCTTTGCAAACAGTTCTGCCTTATCCCTGGGAGAGGTAACAAGATCAGTCCCATGAATGAGAGATGGAATGTTAGATCTACCCTTGTTAACAATGCTGTTGAAGATTTTCCAAAAGTCTTTAGAGCCTAACTTCTGCGATAAGATGCGAGATTTAGTGAACTGAGAATAATGGAGTTTAGCATCAGAAAGCACCTTTTTACATCGATTTCTTGCAATAATAAATAGCCGTTTGTTCTCAAGAGAGTTGTTCTTTTGAAAAAGATGAAAAAAATGGTTACAATTGGATATAGCAGCCGCAAAAGAAGGAGAAAACCATGGAGTAGAATGAGGCTTGACTTGAAACCAAAGAGAAGGAATAAAAGCTTCCATTCCAGCCTGAATCCCGGAGGTTATGTAGGAAGCGCATTTGTCAGCTGAGAGAGAAAAAACATCAGTCCAAGGACCATCACGAAGAAAATCACGAAAGGAATCCCAGTCAGCTTTAGGGTAGTAGTAGGTGGTGCGATGATAAGGTGAGCCCAAAAAAGAAGTACGAGAAGAAAGATTTATAGAGATCATTGCGTGGTCAGAACCACCCAAGGGAGAAAAGGGAGAAACTGAACATAAACTAGGGTCAGAGACAAGACATAAGTCAAGGAGTGAAGGTAAATGATTAGGGTTGTCAGGAAAACGAGTCACAAAGTTAACTATCTGAGTAAGAGATTGAGAAACGCAGAAGTTAAAGGCTATAGTGCCAGCAGGATCAGTGGTGTTAGAGCCAAGCCATTCAGTGTGATGGGCATTAAAATCACCAACAACAACAATATTGTTTAATATTGTTGTTGTTATATTGTTAAGTTTTCACAAAAAGAAGATTTTTTTTACATAATTTGATAAGAAATTTGTTTTTCTTCTAATAGAAATGTGAATTATAAAAAAATCTTATTCCTGAGTAAAGTTATAGTTATAAAAGTAGATATGCACAGATTATATATATATATATATATATATATATATATATATATATATATATATATATATATATATATATATATATATATATATATATATATATATATATTGTTTTTGAATTGATTCTTATAATTATTATAATTAAAAAACTAAGTTATTATTTACTGGAAAAAGTATTCATTTTCTCGTCCGCTAAAATAAGCAAAACTTGTTTATTTTAGTGGACAACCAAAAAAAAACATTAGTGTTAAAAAAAATTTATTTAAATTATCATATGTATTTAAATTTATTATATATTAAGTTTCCATGGTTTAATTTGTATTAATTTAAAACTTGTGATGGCCATGTCATATTTGAACTTCTCCAAAAATGAATTTTTATGCACTTAGATTTATCATTACCTTGGATCATTATCCTGTCATGTCAAGAAAACATTTTTGATAAAGTTTTTGCATGTCAAGTACCTAACTGTTTTTTCTCTTGTATGTATTAATATTAAGTTCATTGGAAACTGTAGAATGTACATTAACGTTAGAAGTATATGGCATGTATGCCATATATTTTTAATATTTTTAATGTTAAATTATGAAGGGAAGCTAGATTGTAAAAATATGATAAATGTAGTTTATATAATGTCAGTATTAATCTATGCAAGCGTGTATGTATGTATGTATGTATGTATGTATGTATGTATGTATGTATGTATGTATGTATGTATGTATGTATGTATGTATGTATGTATGTATGTATGTATGTATGTATGTATGTATGTATTGTATTCTATGTATATATATGACAAGCTAAAAAATTTTTTTCAACAAATTACATTATTACCTTGGGACAAGTCTAAAGATGCAACTTTGCCTTAAAGCTGAATCTCATTAGAGTTTTGATCACATCTTAAAAAGAATAAAAGAATTATCACCATAATAATGGAGAATTATCATCATAATCACAAAGAATATGCACATTACTGTGCATATACTCTCATAAAACATTATGCTAATAATAACCATTAAACACAGAAAAAAAAAACTCATTACTATAACAAATATAATTATAACATTAGTGATAAAATATAATATACCTTATATCCCAGAAGCGAATTTTTTTATCAAAATGGCCACTAATGATAGTAGTCCTAAATGCAAAACAGTATTAAACACTAACATAACCATGTGAAAAAATTATTTAAAATTGAAAAAAATAATAATCTGCTTTGTACTTAATGTTTTGTCTACTCTAATACTACTCTACTAGGTCTACTCTAATAGGATTTTTCTATTGAAAAAAATATTTTTGATAACTGGTTTAGTATAAAAAGTGTATATATATGTGTACATATATATATATACATTTATATATACACTTGTTTTTAGAAAGAGATGGTTGTGCGCCTCTACTTCGAAACCCATGTCGTCGGCCATGAATATGCCAGTTTTATTTTCAATTCTTTCAATTTTTACGTTTTTTTATTCAAATAATTTTTTAATAAATTATAATGGAGTTTTATTTTCAAATAACTTATATAAATTATATTATTATTAGGAAAAAAAAAAATTGATTTAAAAAAATAAGCATTTTTGTTGTATTTTTTGTTGGAAAAAATGTAGACTGGCTTTTTTATAGATGATAGCGGCATTCAAAATGCCGCACAATATTTGGAGTAATTAGCTCCATATGTTTTGCAGAATTTTTATCAAACAAAGAAAGAGTGTTACACATGCCTTCAGTTCTTTACACATTGTTGAAAAAAAAAATCATTCTAAATTAACTCCAGACTGTACATATTGCATGACAAGGAATATTCACATGAAAAGGGTTGGGCACAACAGTAATATAGACATGAAACTGATCAAACTGTTTGTGCACAAGAAATAATATTGGTGACAGACATGAAAAAAGTAATTATGCTACCAAGAATGGGAAATTTTAAAGAAGCAATGTTTTGTCAGCGGTTAACAACATATAATGTATCATTTATGCCTATTGGAAAAACGAAGAAAAGTATAGTTTCAATTGTTTGGCATAAACAAAATGCTGGGCGATACAAAGAGGAGCTAAATCTACTTTTTTTTTGCAAGAATATCGAGATAAATCTGAAATCACCATTGGTGTGAAAATTATTACACTTAAAACAAAAATTGGAGTGATGTTTCTGATATATATGATTAATGGCAATGAAATCACAACCAACAAAATCACATTTATGAGTTATGGTCACACATTTATGAGTTGTGACTCATTTCATCATTTAATAGAGAAGCAACTTAAACTATGTCACGAGTACGATTTCAATGATTTTATTCAAAGAGTGAAAGCAGCAAAACAAAATACAAAAGTTACAATTTTGCAGGTAAGTTTGATTTTATTTCTATAAAAATGATATAATTTGTAGCTGTAATTAAGTGAGCTTTTATTCTTTTAAGACCACAAACATTTTTGTGCTAAAGGAAAAAATCACTCAATATATGTTGAATAAATAGTATTTTTGTCCATATATGGAAAACATTGCCGAAATCAAGTTCTTATAGCATGTTTTATTGTTGTTGCCTATTGGAAAAACAAAGGAAAGTATAGTTTCAATTGTTTGGCATCAACATATTATGACTATTATTGCCCCGCGATTGAAACATCAGTTTTATCTAAAAAGCAGAAAGAAAAAATGTCAACTTTACCATATACTTTAACCCTTTACAAGCCAAATTATGACAAATTAATGTAAAAAATATTATTTTTTGTTATACTAACAATTTAAGTTAACAAAATAAGTTATTGAAAAAAAATATTCAAAATTTTGTAATTTTGGTCAAATTTGGGTTTGATGCCATATGGCATCATCGGTCAATAAAGATAACATCTGAAAACGTTATCTTTATTGACTTTATTAAAGTTATAAAATATTTTTATTGAACTATATATAAACAGCACAGGCAGAAAACTTTTTGTTCAAAAAACATGTTTATTCTAATGTATGTAAGCAGTAAATACAGTTTTATTCAATTGTGGAAGTCTACATAGCAGTTGCGATTGGCTAACAACAAAGGAAAACATTACATTTTGCACACATCATTCTGCTATAACTCTGACACAGCCTGCATCTTTTTTTATCTTTTTGTGGTTTTGGCCAGTGTCCTATATGATCATACCTAATATCATTAATAGGGATTGATATGACTGGTTTCTTTCTATTCCTTTGTTGAACTTGCTTGATACTGCTAAGTTTAGCTGGTCTTCTCCTACCCTGGATTGCTTTTAATTTATTCGCTTGGATAAGAGCATTTAAAATACCTACTGTAAATTCTGCTAATGCTTGATGTTTGTTGATTGGAAGACCTAATTGCTGATAATGCCATTTATTTAAGATCCAGGCATTCACTTTGGTCACATCTACAAAATGCCAGAACACTTTGATGTACCATTGTCGTGTTTTTATTTCTGTGCGGTACAAGGCAACTAGCATATCTGCTAGATCTACACCTCCCATGCATTTATTGTATACTGCCACTATATATGGGCAGGCAATGTTTTTTTTTCTTTTGTTTTGCTGCACCAGCGAAAAAGTTGGATACTAAATGTACAATATTATTGTCTAACCATTTCACAACAATTAGTGCAGAATTTTTATCAATACGATAATCAAGTGAACTTCTATCTTGTTTCTTGAGTTCTTTTGATGGTATTACTCAGTAATAGTAAACCCAGTAATTTACTGGGAACCCATGTAAATGATTTGGTTTGATTGTGCCTGCAGCTTTTATTCCAATAGGTATTGGATCAAATCAAGGGTGGAAATATCATAAAGACAATTCCTTTTGGCCAATGACGCCATGTGGCATCATTTACTTTTGAAAATTTATAATACACAAGATAATGATCACTTTTTAACTAAAATACCCTCAAATAAATCTTTGTTATTTATATTTTGAATATCATTTAGTAAAGTGTTTTATAAATTGTGTTATCTAAATACAAAATGAAAAAAATAAAAATGAGATATTTGAGTTTTTACATCTTTTCTCTACTACAGTAATAAACCAAGTGTTTACTTCTTACAAAGTATGTTCTACCATTATGAAAAGTTTTAGCGTGTGTACACCTTGGTGTTGAATAACAAGCAAAAGCATTCTCCTTATTACAGGCTTTAGTAAGCTATAGCAGAACTCCTAAAGTCACTGAAGCCGTATGGCACCACTGGCCCATAAAGGGTTAAGAAGTTTAAAAGCCGGAATCAATTCAATCTAAAAATCAAAACCCATAATAGAAAAGAGTTTTGGGAAAATTTCTCAAGAGCTTTTATGTTTAATTCTTCAATTTCAAAATTATATATCATAAACATTTTGTGCGCATAGAAATTTCCTTGTTATTTGTTTTTCTTTTTGTATTATTACTTAATTCATCTTCTAAATACATTTATTTTACATTAAAACTTTTTAATTTTCAAACAGGTGCAACTAATATAACTTGTTTTGTAATATTAGTCACTCGTGTAGGAATGTCAAAAATGTTAGAGGGGGAGGGCGGAAACAAAAATTAAAGCAGGCTAGGGCAACAAAAAAAGAATTTGAATGAAATTTAAAAAAACTTGGGAGGGAAGTGCCCCCCCTCCCGTTTTTAAGACATTTATTTAATTAAAGATATTAGAAAACCATCAAACAAACAGAGATGACGAGTTAATAAAAACTTAAAGAGTTAATAAATTGGAAAAAATGAAAACTATAATAAATATAATATTTCTATATATTCTTTTAAAATATATATAATTTAATAGAATATATAGAACTGTTATGTTTATTATAATTTTCATTTTTTACTGTGTGTTTAACAACACCAATAAGATTAAATTTAATTAAACGATAATCAGAAAATTAAAAAAAGTTTTGATGAAAGCTATGTTTTAGCATGGTTTCTTATAAAGAAATTCCAAATGCAATCATTTTAACTAAAATTTCATATGCTTTTGTAAACGCATGTAAAAACCATGCTAAAACATAATTACTTTCTTCAGTTGCATATTTAATTATTAAACTTAAAAGTAATGCTATTGAAAAAATAATTAGAATGCTTTTTTTTTTAAATCATTAAAAATGTGTTTTAAATTTTAGTAACTTATTGTTTTTTTTATAATAAATAAAAAACTATCAATCGCATAATTATTTGGAAAAAAAAATTTCTGAAGTTAAGGGTCGTCCATAAAGTACATACACTTTTTGTCCACCTCCCCCCCCCCATTTTGCAATAGGCTTTTTTGAGTATCCACCACCTCCCTAAAAGTATCTACGCTTTAAACCTATTTATCTAACATTTTATGATATCTTTTTCAATATAGTTTCTCTTTTCATTTATAATTAACCCATTGCCCTCTCATCGCATATATGTCATTTGCAGACCCCCTCTTCCTCTCCCAGCATAAGTAATATATGTACAATCCCTTATGCGTTCATTTTTAAGAATTTTAAGCATATGCCAACATTAGCTTAAGTAAAAGTAAGAAAATGTGACATTTAATTTTTTTAAAAAACAAACATTCGCACGTTCGTTGATTTATACTAATGCTTTAATTTTAAATGTATTAAACATAACTAATCAATACATAATTATAAAGTATATATATAAATATATATATATATATATATATATATATATATACATATATATATATATATATATACATATATATATATATATATATATATATATATATATATATATATATATATATATATATATATATATATATATATATATATATATATATATATATATATATATATATATATATATATATATATACATATATACATATATTTATATATATACTTTATAATTATGTATTGATTAGTTATGTTTAATACATTTAAAATTAAAGCATTAGTATAAAACAAATATTTAAACAAATATTTTTTATTACTGTTATTATATAGAATAAATATTAGCTTTAAAAAAATATCATTCAAGTCAAGATAACACACAGATATAACACAGACTAAAGTATGTGGATATTTTGCAAATATATCTATGAAAAAAAAATCTAAACAAAAATATGCTACCCTGCAATGTCTGATGTAACAAGATCATTACAACTGGATCCTGCAAAGATTGTTTTAGTGCCTGTTTAGATAAAAGAGTGTCAAATAAAAAAGAAAAAAAATATAACAGAATTAGAAGCATTTATACTAACACTAACAAAGAAGTATAAAAATACAAAAATGTAAAGATATAAAAAATACGAAAAAAATAACAGTCATATATCTATTAAAACATTAAAAAACTTATATAAACATTATAAAATATAAAAAAAGTTATATAAACAAATTTAAAAAACGAAAACAAATGCACATATTGAATGACATTCAAAAAAAGGGACTGGGATTTAATTATCATAACTCCCTTAAAAAGTAAAGCAAATCAAAAAAGAAATTTTGTTTAAACAGATTTTATGATTTATAGCGAGTTTTATACCATTTTCTTTTCTTGCTATGTTTTAAAAAACCCATAGCAGTTTATTTTTATCAAAACTTTAAGTAAACTCGATTACATTCATTTAAGATTGTTCATGTAAAAACTTCATTATTTGTATTAATCCAAAATTAAAAAGAAAGAATCGATAATTGACTTTTAATTTTTTTAAATTTTTGACAAGATAAACTAAAAAAACTTGCAACTGCTTCTTGATGGTCTAAATGTTTTGAAATAAACATTTTTTTTTCTTGGTTTTTAATAACTAACTTTTTTAGCAGCCTGAGAATCTAGTTGAGAATTTATATCTAGATGGTCAAACAAAGATTTGATTTTTTTAAACTATTCCTTCACTTCCTTTGACTTTTTTGTAGCCAAATTCTCTTTTAGTACATTTAGTAGACAAATTCACTCTTAGTACAATTTGTAGCCAAATTCACTTTTAGAACATTTAGTAAACAAATTCACTCTTAGTTCATTTAGTAGACAATTCACTTTTAGTACATTTAGTAGCCAAAATTACTTATAGTACATTTAATTATCACACAGATGATACTTTTAAGGAAATGCTCTTTGCTTTTAAGTGGAATATATAAAAAACATTTAATTTCTATTTACCTACTGAAATTTAAATAGTACTCATACACATGTTTTGTAATTTATAATATATAATAAAATCATAATATATTCTAAAATATGTTTTCTTATCATTTTAGCTTATATTTTAAGGAAGTTGAAAGTCTTTGAATCCAGTACCATTTTTAGTTGTCACCCCTTAAATGCCTTTTTATTTGCTAAATATGAGCAATTCTATGCAATACTATATAAAGGATTTTACAACCAATTGCAACCAGTTGCAAAAGGTTGCAACTACTTACAAACTTTGCTTCTTAAATCCCATACTTTTATTGTTCTATCATAACTTCCAGACGCTATTTTGCTCGAATCTGTTCCAAGAAACTTTGCTGTCATTACTTTATTGCTGTGTCCTGTCAAAGTATGCTAAAGTGAATTTTATTAAATAAATCAAAATAAATAAGTAATTAGATAAAATAAAATTTTATCTAAAATAAAACCCTGACCACCCCTTTCCCTCCCTCCACCTTATCAGTAGCTAAATATTGTGCATTTAACAATCTACTTTTCACTATTTATTTCTTATTATTATATTACTATTGTATCAGTGCTGAAAATAACAGCTAATCGATGATCTCCTAATATTTATTTTGGCCAATCAAATTTGATTAGGAAAACTGTTAGGCAAACTTAATAAAAAATTCAAATTTTCTTCCAAAGTTTATTAAATGTTAAATGAATTTATATGAATGAATTAAATTTATTTTGAATGAAACAAATTTGAAATACTAGAAATGATATTTAAATCCAAATAATAAACAACAAGACACTTTGATCAATGAGAATAGTTTAGGATTGTTATGATCACTTAAAATCAATATAACAATTTAAACAATTTAATTTTGCCTGAGTTGTTATAAAGATGACGATTAATGATCTCAAACTTTTGTTTGAGATCATTAAACGTCAAAGTCATGTGTTTTCATTTTAAGTATTATTAATGCACAATGGTTCAGGACCATGCTATAAATGCAAAAAAATTATTTATTTTATTATAAAAAGCAATTAAAAAATTATATTATATATGTTTTGTGAAAACTATATTTAAACTTTCAAGGTCTGTAACTTATAAAATAATTATCTAAGAACGATTCAAAAATTTCAAAAATTAAAGAAAATTACATTTTTTTTCGGGGAAAAACCCGAAACTACCAACATTTATACATGCTCATTCTAAACAATGTCACAGATATACCAATTTTTTATCATTATAATTATTAAAATCAACATAAAGTAATTTAAAATATACAACTTTATAAAAAAGACACAATTAGCTCCATGTTTAACCTTTTTTTAAAAAAATTTGAATTGTTAATTTAAAAAGGTCTTATAATATAATAATATAATGATCTTATAATATAAGATTTTATAAAAATCTCAAAAAAGTTAAAAAAAAGTAAACTATTTTGATAAACAACCTTTATTATTACACTATATTATATTTCAATAATGTTTTCATTAAAACCTTTTTTATTCTTTTTGATTTCAATAAACTTAACTCTTTATTTATTAAAAATATTTATTTTGTTTTACATTATTTATTATTTTAAGCATTTTACTGTAAAAGATGCACTGATTTTTTCATTGACATTAAATAAGGTAATTAGTATAATTAGGTAATTAGTAATGAGTTTCTTTTGAATTGGGGAGAATAACAATCAGGAGATAACATTAATATATTATAATCAGGAGATAAAATTATTATATATACTATTATTATTAAGTAGATTAATTTATATGCTATTAGTTTAAAAAAAAAAAAATTTCATAATATCATTATAATACTAATCGTTAAACTTCGTTTAACAAATAGTATTTATTTATCGCATTGTTTTCCTTTAACAAATTAAAGAAACATTAGAGTGGATTGAAAAATATGGTCAAAACATAGATTTTATGAAAATTTGATACAAGAATCATGACAACAACTATTCCTAATTACCTCAATGGCAAACTGTTTTCATATTTTCTTGTATTATGAACTGTAAAAAAAATGTAATTTTAACCTTTTTTAGAAAAAACAACAAAAAGTTTTTTGTTGTTTTTTCTAAACAGAATACTGTTGTCACATTTCGGCTGGTTCTTCTAATGAAACCTTTAAGGTACGGTACAAAATTGCAATGTAAATGTTGTTGATCCTGCCGCTAACCGAGAGCCTCTGTCCAATTTTTACAAAGTTGTGTCAATTTTTTTTCTTCTAAATATACTAAAATGGTTGATTTTTTTGCTTGAAAATCTTCCTTGAACATTGAATTCTCTCTCATCAACACTTTTATCTGATAATTACTGACAATACAATTTAAAGTTTTGAAAGTCATCTGTCAACTGCTTTCTTGCTCTTCAACTCTTTTATATATAGATAAGTTTTATATATATATATATATATATATATATATATATATATATATATATATATATATATATATATATATATATATATATATATATATATATATATATATATATATATATATATATATATATATATATATATATATATATGTATATATATATATATATATATATATATATGTATATATATATATATATATATATATATATATATATATATATATATATATATATATATATATATATATATATATATATATATATATATATATATGATAAAATATCCCAAAAATATTTATAAAACTCAACTATACATTAAAACTAATTTTTATAGTTTTATATAACTTTTAAAACTAAACAACATTTTAAAAAAATTTTTTATAGTTTTTATATAATTTTTAAGAATAAACAACATTTAAAAAAAAAAAATTATTTTAAACCTAACTCCCATTTTATAAAAAAAAAAACTGTTGTTTTAGTGCGACATAATTATAAGTCACTTTTGAAAAAAATTCATATAAATTGTCATTTTTATAAAAAGACGTCTCAATTTTAAACAATCAATTGTAGGTACTATTCTTTTGAATCACTTCAATCACTCTAGAAGGTAAAGAATCATACAACTTTTTATGTATGAAATGTCAATTGCATCCCATGCAGATGCAATGGATGATTTCAAGTCAGCTACTGGACTATATTGTTTACCACCTTCAAACACTATATGTGACAGCTGTGTCCAAGCATTCTCAATAATCTTAAGGTCTGGAGATCTAGCTGTTCAATGTTTCAATTTTACTGCTGTTGAAATATTCCTTTACTATCTTAGCTGTTGAATGCTAGCATTATCTTGCTGAAAAATAAAACTTTCACCACCTATAACAGATGTTTCACTTCTTAAAAATTCTTAAACAATTAAAAGATAATCCTTAGTCTTCATTTTTCTGTCAATAAAATGAGTTTTTGATTTACCATGATACCCAATCGCACAACAAACCAATACACCACCACCACCCATTTAACGTTGTTGCTGTGTTATTGGTTCTTTATGCAAATTGTGAAAATAATAATTCCATCTACCCGGCCAATCAAGATAAAATCATTTTTAGTCAGAAAATACTACTTGTTGCCACTCTTCCATGTTACATGACCCTTTGCAAAAGTTATTTGATTGTTTATGTGATTTGTTGTTAAAGGTGGTTTTCCCTAAAGTTTTTTGTGCGAAAGGTAAAAAGTATTATGAATAACTCGCTAAACTGTACGTAATTAGCAATCACACCTGCTTCTGAGCAATTTGATGTGCAGCTAATGAAGAATTTAAAGCTTGTCTCAACAACCTTCGCCTATAATGGTTACTTAATGTTGGTAGACGTCCGGGACTTTTTTTATTCCATACATACTATTAACGTAGTTTTTAATCACAGTTCAGCTGCACCCAATAGCTCTAGCCATGTAACTAACAGAGTGACCCATTTTAAATAAGTTAGAGAGCACATTTTTCTCATCTAGACTTAGTGATGCAGCACGACATATTATTAATTAATTTGCTATTTTAAACTTAATAAAAAAAAATCTAAACTAAATTTTTGACAGTTCACAAAATTTAACAGTTAAATAATCGTCTGTGGTGTTTACATCAAATAAATATTCTTAATTGCCTACTACTGCAGTTTGCAAATAAAAAATTTTTTTGTATAGTATTCTAATTTTGTCGCACTGAAAAAAAGGTTTTTTTTTTAAATAAAATGCGAGTTACGTTAAAAACAAATTTGTTAAAATGTTGTTTAGTGTTGTAAACCCTTTGCTTTCATTTACAATAAAAATTAGTTTTTTAATATAAATCTATAGTAGAGTTTTATAAATCTTTTTGGGATGTCTTATCATTATGTCGCGCAGTGTATATGTGTATATATATATGTATGTGTATATGTGTATTTATATGCGGTAGTGGTGTAGTGGTAAGAGCGCTCGCTTTGTAAGCAAGCGGTTCAGAGTTCGACTCCCACCACGTCCCTGGAAGTACGGCGTTCAACTTAATTTCTCCGCCCAGCGGTCTTGCTTGTCAAGGTTCGTGTTTCGGAGTTAAGGAGTTGAGAGAGGGTTGTACCACAACTAACAAAAAAAAAAAAAAAAAAAAAAAATGAAAAAAAAAAAAAAGAGTAGCCTCCTCGTCTGAAGTGGCCCCCTAGGGCCTTGGGGAGGTGAATAATTAAAAAAATATATATATTTTGTTATTCACCTCTTTAAGGCCGAGAAGGCCACTACAGACGAGGAGGCTACTTAATAGTGGTTATAACCCTCTCTTAACTCTATAACTCCGAAACAAGAACCTTGACAAACAAGGCCGCTGTGCGGAGAAACAAGTTGAGTGCGGTACTACCAGGGACATGGTGGGAATCGAACTCAGAACCTCTCGCTTATGATATATATATATATATATAATATTACATCTCTGATGTAATATTATATATATATATATATATATATATATATATATATTATATATATATATATATATATATATATATATATATATATATATATATATATATATATATATAACTATGAATCAGTATAGACAACGTCTCTGGCGTAACAATAAATATAAAAATAACAATAAAATTAAGCTAAAAAGTTTCTAATTCTTAGGGTAGATAATTTTTTTACATCATTAAACAATTATATATATATATATATATATATATATATATATATATATATATATATATATATATATATATATATATATATATGTATTATATATATTATATATATATATATATATATATATATATATATATATATATATATATATATATATATATATATATATATATATATATATATATATATATATATATATATATATATATGTAAAGATCTTAAATACACGGTATGAGCAATTTTGTTTTATTTGCTGACTTAAAGGGATCCCCAACTGCCAAAACAAGTTGTTTTCATATTAAAGAAAATGTTTAAAAAAAACATTTGGGCTAAAGTTTTTTGATTAAAACTAAATAATGAATGCACACCATTCATTTTAAAATTCACATTTTAGTCGAAGCTCACCGTCTCCATATTTTTGTTTCTTGGAGCCTGTATAATATTAGCTGCAATCTGCAGACTTGATAAGTTATTCAGTGCGTGTTTAATTCATAACAGTTTCAGTATATGAAGTCATCATATAAATTTTTTCTTTCAAGATATAGTATTTATTTTTTACCACAATCACCAAATCATGTTAAATGTATAACTTTTTACTAAATCCCCAAAAAAAGTTGATATAATTAAAAAATAAATTTATAAAATGTGATATAATTAAAAAGTAAATAAAAATAAAAATTTAATATATAACGAATATTTGCAGTAAAACGTACTGGTTTAAACTAAATTTATATAAACTTAACAAAAAACCATTGACTTGAATAAAATATGTAAACTGAACTAAGTAGAAAATAAATATTAAACAAATTATTTTACTAATAACTGTACAAATTAAAGATAAAACAAATATTTGTATTAAAATATACAAAAAAAAGTTATAAAATAAATATAAAACGAAGAATCGCATTAACTCGTTTACTATCAGCCAAACAAAAATCTTTTCGTAATGACCGCTCATTTTTTTGAATACAATTTGATGATATAACATTGACAATTAATTAAAATTCGAATAGTAAATCTCTTTAAAAGCATAACAAACTATATATCAATAGAAAGCGAAACAAATGTACTTTTTAATTAAGTTTTTAACACGCATGATTAAACAATAAGAAATGCAAAATGCTAAAAACCATTGTTTTTATAAATAGTAACTAAAACATAAGTCCCAAACAAAACTCATTTAATGAACAAAAAGTATATTTTCTCTTCAAAAGTAATTACTTTGGTAATTACTTAACTAAATACTTAACATTTATACAAGTTAAATTTTACAGTGTTAAAACTGTTTTATTTTATAACTTATAAATTAGTTATAAAATATAACATAAATTTAAAGAATTTTTTTTATGAAGGATTATTCATGATTTTTTAACTTTGTCAAGTGATAACTTTTTTATAATTACACAATATAGCTCTTATTTTTTCTTGATTATGTAGAGAATTAATTAAATCTTTAGAACAAACAAATTATATGTTTAGAATGGAAATTTATGTACAAAACAAGATAAATTGTAAAACATACTTGAAAGCCGCTACCAGAGGCTTGCGGTAGTGAAAGAGTAACTATGTGTAAATTAAACATTTATCGAACAACTCTATTAAACCATATGAACTAAATATAAAACGAGAAACCGCATCATACTGCCTTTATTTTTTCTCTGCCTGCAAACTCTAATAATCACAAAATATGTAAAGTTGTGTCATGATTTTGGCTGGGTTCTAAAACAAAGTAAAAATAAAGCAAGTAAAAAAAAAATATATAAATATAAAAAAATATATATATTTGTATAATTTTTTACTAAATCATAAATATTTTTTGTGATTTAGTAATAAATTATACAAATATTTGATTTTCTCATTGTAGTAGAAAAAATATATCTTTAAAAATACTATAACAAAAAAAGGCTATCTTAAAAAGACATTGTGATGACATCATATACTGAAGCTGTTATGAATTAAACATGCATTTAATAAATTATCAAGTCTGCAGATTACGGTTAACATTATACAGACTCCTAGAACCAAAAAAAGATAAAGAAGGCGAGCTTCGACTAAAACGATAACTTTAATTTTGTTGGTATGCGTTTATTATTTAGTTCAAAAAAAAAAAAATCAGCCCAAATGTTTTTTTTAATCATTTTCTTAAATATGAACACAACTTGTCTCGGCAGTAGGGGATCCCTTTAAATAAAATTGTTACGTAAAAAAATAACAACCACACAAATATATATATATATATATATATATATATATATATATATATATATATATATATATATATATATATATATATATATATATATATATATATATATATATATATATATATATATATATATATATTTAAACTTTAATATTTCAATTTATTTTATTAAACATCAGATAAAACTAGAAAAATAAAGCACGATAATGTACAATATAAATATTAAAAAACAAGCACTAATCACAACAATCTAAAGGACTTTAACAGTGATCGAATATTTTAAATAAAAGAAATTGTTAAATAAGATATAAAATACTTTTATATCTTATTTAAATCTCATTCAATATTTTATTATAAATTTAACGCTTAGGCTGATACAAATATAAAATTAAAAGACGGAGGAGTTAATATATAAAAACTAATTTAAACTTTTTAATAGTTACTTTAAAACAAAAAACAAAAAGAAACTCTAATAACATATTTAAAAATTTTTTTTTCTTAAAATAATTAAATTTTAATTCGAAACATTTAAATTTTTAAATAAATAATTCCATAAACTTTCCTCCTAAATAAAAATCTATTTTAATGTTTTATATAATGTGCAAGTAGCTTTAGCATACTTTTTAATTGTTTTTTTTTATACATAGTTTCATACATTGCGCAAATGCCTTAAGCATAGTTTTTCATTGGTTGATTTTTAAATTACCGCAAAAGTTTTTCGTACCTTTAGTAATAATAATTTTTGTCTTGCAACTTTTTTTATTTATAATCCTTAAATTACATATTATTAATTATTGTTTAAAAAAACAATAACTAATAATATACAAATTTTGACTGTTATTATTATTGCAGTAGTAAATTTTTTGTTTTTCTTTTTCATTAATAATTGCAATATGATAAACTCATTAAAACAGTTTTTACGGATTCATTAAAACAGTGTTTACGGTTTTTAAAAAAAATAAGAATTTAATGACCACAGATATTTCCGGCGATCACTTAATTTGAGCCCTGAAATGTGCCAGCGTGAATAGCGTGCAGAGCTTCTAAACAAAAAAGCTGTGGTTCAAGTCCTACCACTGGTGACTTTTATTTTTTTAATTTCTTTCGATAATTTTAAAATACAAAATACTTTTGAAGTTTTAAAGAGATAGGTTATATACAAACATGTAACGATATTATACACTTTTACTAACAAAAAGGTTTTTACAAAAGCTAAAAACATCGAAACACCAGGAGAAAAAATTTGTTGCGTATGTGTCATGATCGAGATACTTATGTTATTAATGAGCTCAGGTAACTAGTCCTAGTAAGCTGCAAATGGTCTGAAAAAAAATGTCTGAAACTTAATAAGGAAAAAATTTAATAATAATTATATGGATGATACAACGAAAATTATGAAATGAATTAGACTTAAAATTTGAAAGCTTTTATAAAAAGTCATTAAACCAAAAAGATTAAAAGTAACTGCAGTTCAGTGAAAATTAAAATTCATTAGTTAAATTTAGTTCAGTAAAACTTAAAAATTCTAAGAATAGTATATTGGTGTTTGCAAAGAAACATATAAACCATTTTTTAATATAAACTAACTTTTTTTTCAATTTTATTGTATAGACAGGTTTTTGTGTATTATCAGCTAATATATATATATATATATATATATATATATATATATATATATATATATATATATATATATACACATATATAGTGTTATACAGAGATTTCAGAAAAACTAATGGCACATTAAAATTGATAATATATAGTATATTTTAGTATCTGTCTAGATACTGATAAAAATGGTAACTTACTCGTAATCTTAAATCATTTATACTCCATATCCAACAAGCATTATCATTTGACGAAGCCAAGATCAATTTTTCCTGAATTCAAAAGCAAAAAAATAAAGAAAACTCATTAAATGAAATGCATTAATTATTTTTCAAAAGTCATTTGAATTGCACTGCATGCAGTTAAATACATTTTAAAAATTGTTTACATTGCATTGCATGTAGTTACATACACTATGAAATTCATTTGCATTGCATTGCCTACATATTTAAATTTACTCCAGAGGATTTTCAAACTTAAAAATAAAACAATGATAATATACAGCCTTCAAAATTTAATAGTTAACAAGCCAAACAGATTACCATATTTACTAAAACTGCCTTTGTTTAGCTTTCCTAGCAAAAAATCAAGTTTTTCAAAAAAAAAAATTTTTTTTTGAAAAACGCAATTTTTTTTTTCAGGATTTGTTTTTTTTACTGCAGATCTGATAAACAAGCAAATTTGTTTAAAAACAAAAAACTCATTTTTATAAATACAAGTATATTTTAAAAAACTGTTTCTAATAATCCATAATTTTAAAATTGTAAAAATTATAAAGTAAACTCTGACAATTACATGAAAAATATAAAGCAACCCCTGTAATAAAAGACATTTTTATTCATTATCAATATATCTAATTTTAGAAACTAGCAGCTTATAAAGTCAATTTTATTTCTAATATATTTTTTGTTTAAATACTGAAGTAGACTAGCTTAATCCAATTTCATTTTTTCTTAGTTTTTAAGCCTCACCTTCATTCATTCTTTTTTAATATACAGACAGATAAAACAAAAGATAAAATAAAAGATAAAAAATATAGGAAAAAGAAAAAGAAAATAGAAGTAAAAATTGCTAAAACGACTTTTTAATTGATGACTGTTGATAAAAACACTATACATTATAAGTAGGATTGCCAGAATTTCGACTTTTACAAAGGAAAACACAGTAAAAAAAAAATATTTTTACAGGTTTGTATTTTATTTCCTATAGACCAAATGATTGGCAACCCCAATGTTTAAAACAGCGCTGCCTCAAGGCTGCGAGGTGTGCGCTTTTTTAAACCTTGAATATAGTTAAGGTTTAAAAAACCTTGCAAAAACCAATACCTTACCGCCTTGAGGTGGCGCTAAAAACTAAAAATAACTTACATAACTAAACTTTAAATATACATGTAAATTTTTACGCAAATATAACAGATAATACGTTTCATTGCAAGATTTTTTTGTTGATTTTTTTGTTGTTGTTATTTTTGGTTTACTTTACCAGCTAATTTACTTTACTGAAAGTGTTAATAAATCTTTTATAATAAAATTTATAAACTTATTTTAAAGTATATCATTTATTAATATGCAAACTTCTCTGTAACTTTCCTTACTTTAGATAAACAGACAAAATGTAAATTAAGAGTTTTTTAATAAAAAAATTAAATTATTAAAATAATTTATTAAACATTTTTATTAAACATTATTGAAAAACCTTAAATAGAGAATAACTGACATCAATAAAAATTAAAAATAAAAGTTTTTTTTTCAACTTTTAAATTAATGATCTTGTTAATGTTAATGACAATTGTTAATGACGACACGTTTTTACACATTAAAAAAATTGATCAACAATTCTTTTCCTTGTTTGCATACTATTGCATTTTTTACTAGTCTAGCGCAACACTTTAAATCTAAGACTGATTTTTTTTCTTTAACTATATTATGAACCTATTAATAAATCATTTAAAAAATCATTTAAAAGTAAAAAAAAATTTGCTTGATAAAAATTGCAGAAAGATGCATATAATAAAACTACTATTATTTTACGTCTGGAAGTTAAGGCAACATCAAACCATGACCCACAAATTTTAAATGGAATATTTAAGGCTTTCGTACATAGAGCATTGAATGTATGCCGTCAGAAACATATAGAAAATGAACTGAAATTCCTTAATCAAGTATTTGTCGAAAATGGCTACAAACAGTCTAATCTCATGAAAATCATAAAAGAAATAAAACAAAAGTACAAAAAATCTCCAGTGACTACTAAAAACATTGACAACATCACCAGCACGTATCCAACCATTTTGTTACCTTGGATACCAAAATTGTCTCCAAAATTGCGTAAAGTGTTTAGGAAGGCAGGATATAAAACAGACTTTAAATCAAACTTGAACCTGGAGACATTATTAACATTAAGAAATAAATCCAAACTAAAAATGAACAGTCACCCAGGAGTCTACCTTATTAAATGTCATTGTAGCAAAAAGTGAATAGGTGAAACAAAAATGCAAATAAAAACATGCATGCAACAACACAAAAATAGTACAATAGGAAATAAAACAGAACGATCTGCATTAGCCACATACATGAGACATTGTACACAACAAATTAACTGGGACAGTTGCAGAACTCTAAAAGTCAATGCTAAAAAGTTTGATAAAAAAGTTTGTGAGGCACTTGAAATATAGTACTACAAATGTGCCCCTCAACAAAATGGTATCAATTTAGAAAATCATAAACAAGTATTACCATTTGATTTTACATGCTCCCCAATTAAGTCAGTAAGTTGTGGAGTTCCACAAAGATCAATACTTGGACCTTAGCCATTTTTAAATTAAATTAATGATATTTATTTGTCATCAAAAATACTTAATTATATTATTTTTGATGACAACACTAATGTTTTCTTTTCTGACTCAAATTTAAAAAATATTTTTTGTAATGTAAACACAGTACGAACATAAATTAAATTGGAAAAGCCAAATAAAGCTAATCGAAAACAAAGTCTCAAAGACTTTATGGACAATGTATAAGACTAAACCTCTATTGAATAAAATATGTTTAAGAAATATATATTCTTTGTTTATACATAGTCATATTAGCTATTGTAATATTGCCTGGGCAAATAATCACTCATCTTTCCGAAAACCTATTTATACAAAACAAAAGCAAGCAAGTCGATTAGTTTCAGGCATGGATAGATACAAATGTGACAAGCCATTACTCAAGGAAATAAATGT